CAGGATGGTCTCGATCTCCTGACCTCGTGATCCACCCGTCTCGGCCTCCCAAAGTGCTGGGATTACAGGCTTGAGCCACCGCGCCCGGCCAGAAAAAATGTCTTTTTATCCCTTCGTGACATTTGGACTGTTTATGCGGTTTTATATGTCATGCTCTTGCACGTGTAATGTATTGTGACCATTTTCATCATATTAAATATTCTTTGGAAAGTTTTTTCTAGGCCGGTAATATGCATTGTATGAGCACACCATCAGCCATTGCCCTATTTTTTTTGTCCAGTTCTTGTCAGTTTTGAAAATATGGTAATAGTTTGGTGAATATTACTGTAGGTAAATTCCTCACAGTGGACTTGGGCACAGGCTGTGGCTCTGGGTCGCGTCCTGCACCAGGCAGGCCTCTGCTGGGAGGTGGCTGGGTTCTGGGTACCAGTGCTGCCTGGTGCGTCACTGAGTGCAGGTGCGTGCAGGTGCACCTGCTCTGCTTCAGGCGCAGCTGAAGATGGTCTATGCTTTAACAGGCAGCAGTTTGAGGTACTGAACTCCCAAGTATTTGCCTAAAATAGAGTTCCTTTTTTTTTTTTTAATAGGATAAAGAGTTGTTAAAGAAACAGCAGATGAGTAGCTTACTTCTGGCGTCCACATTGCAGTCTACACTAGATGCAGGCAGTTGCCCTGAGCCGCCTCCGGGCAGCCCTCCTGAGGGTCCAGAAGTACAGTTAGAGGTGACACAGAGCGCACTCCTGCAGCGTGAGAGTGAGGTGAGTACGGAGTGGGGACATGGGATTATCAGCCCCAGGTCAGTGTCCAGTGAGCTTCTCTGTGGCAGATCCGGTCCAGATAACGCAGGCAATGGGCTTGTGACCACTGTGTATTCTTTTCTTTACTTTTTTTTTGAGACAGAGTTTTGCTCTTGTTGCCCAGGCTGGAGTGCAATGGTGCGATCTCGGCTCACTGCAACCTCCGCCTCCTGGGTTCAAGTGATTCTCCTGCGTCAGCCTCCCGAGTAGCTGGGATTACAGGCGCACCCACCACCACGCCCGGCTCATTTTTGGTATTTTTAGTAGAGATAGGGTTTCACCATGTTGGTCAGGCTGATCTCCAACTCCTGACCTTAGGTGATCCGCTTGCTTGAGCCTCTCAAAGTGCTGGGATTGAAGGTGTGAACCCTGTGCCCAGCCCTGACCACTGTGTATTTTTTGCAGTTTTACCATTTATATGTGGATACGGGTACAGGGTAGTAATAACTGTCTTAGGCATGTGCTTTAAATCTCTCAAAGCTATTTTAATAATTTCTTAATTATTAATATCAATAGAATATTAGATGACTTTTAATACTTCTTTTGTTTTAATGAAAGGTTTTGTACTTGAAAGAACAACTAGAAAAGATGAAAGGTGACTTAGAAAGTAAAAATGAAGAGATACTACATCTGAACTTAAAATTAGACTTGCAGAACAGCCAGACCGCTGTCCGCCTTGGAGAACTTCAGGAAGAGAATGTGAGCTTGAAGGTAAGCCACCAAAGGTCCACGTGACACCGAGTTCATGTTGCTTACGCCAGTGCCGAGCGGCTGCCAGGACCCTCGTCTGGGAGGCGGGTCTCTGGCCTTCACAGACGCCCATGGCCCCACGTGGCAGACAGCTGCAGAGAGCGCCCGATTCTGCCTGGGGACATGTGCATGGAAGCAGCTTTCTAGGGATCTTGAGTGGGGAGCCAGCGACCCCTGCCCCAAACTGCTTTCTGATTGCAGCCCTGATAGTCAGGAATCTGAGAAGAGGCCTTTCCCTAGGGCAGCACCCTGGGGCTGTGAGAGGCCCTGGGCTATTGCTGGCTTGCTCTCCTCAAGGAGGTGACTTAAGTAAGTGGCCACTCACTGTGTCTCTTCCCACTGGCATGATGGGAAAAAAGTCTTAAAAACTAATTAAAAAAAAAAATTTTTGTGGATACATAGTTAGGTGTATATTAAAAAATGTATTTTAAGGTTTATTATTTTAATGTAGCTGTGCTTTTGAAGCAAAAAAGAAAACCACAACCAGCCTGTTTATAATAGAGATGATATTCAAAATTGCAGAGCGTTGGTAACTTCATAGGTGCCCTTGAAAGACCTTGTGTAGGCTGGGCGCGGTGGCTCAAGCCTGTAATCCCAGCACTTTGGGAGGCCAAGGCGGGTGGATCACGAGGTCAGGAGATCGAGACCATCCTGGCTAACATG